GGGTAATTCTGATTTTTTTTTTTTTTTTGACCTAAGCTGTTTTTTTTTTCTTTCACAATGGAACAAAACAACACTTTCCCCTCCACCCCCATATCAAATCTAGTGCTTTCATCTTCTGGCTTTTTTTAGTTCTGATTTTCATGTTTACTTATAGTTTTCTTAATTTTCTCCATTTTTGTTTCTTGACTGTTGTTTCTCAACTTTTTAAGTATAGATTGGAGAGCTGACTTTGTTTAAAAGAACTATACTTTTTAGAGCTGCTTGGAGAGCTAAGCTGGAAAGACGTGGGGGTGCTTATTCCTGCATGGAAACGCTTGCCAATGCTTTCTCATTTGGACCCAGACTCCGGATCGGGAGCAGTCTTATAGCTGAATCAGCTACCAAGAGAAGCTCTAAAGCAAGAAGAGAAAAGCACTTCAATTTGGGACATCTATTTGCACCTGGAAATGGGGAATGGGCTATCAGACTAGACTTCTATCCTGTCCAACCTGCCTTCATTTCAGTCCCTCCACATTGTTATTCTGGGTTTGGACTGTGCTGGAAAGACAACTGTATTATACAGGCTGCAGTTCAATGAATTTGTAAATACCGTACCTACCAAAGGATTTAACACTGAGAAAATTAAGGTAACCTTGGGAAATTCTAAAACAGTCACGTTTCACTTCTGGGATGTAGGTGGTCAGGAGAAGTTAAGGCCACTGTGGAAGTCATATACCAGATGCACAGATGGCATTGTATTTGTCGTGGACTCTGTTGATGTCGAAAGGATGGAGGAAGCCAAAACTGAACTTCACAAAATAACTAGGATATCAGAAAATCAAGGAGTCCCTGTACTTATAGTTGCTAACAAACAAGACTTGAGGAACTCATTGTCTCTTTCAGAAATTGAGAAATTGTTAGCAATAGGTGAACTGAGCTCATCAACTCCTTGGCATTTGCAGCCTACCTGTGCAATCACAGGAAATGGACTAAAGGAAGGACTTGAGAAACTACATGATATGATCATTAAAAGAAGAAAAATGTTGCGGCAACAGAAAAAGAAAAGATGAATATCAATACCTATTATATCTGTGTGGAGTAGGTTTTCTCTGGTCTGATTTTGACAAATAGGAGAGTGTCTACAACCTGGTTTGCCTGTATGCCCTCCTGGATGCTATTAAAGCTTTGTTTTGTTGAACAAACAAAAAAAACAAAACAAACAAACAAAAAAAAAAGAACTATACTTTTTAATGTTCTCAGTATCAGAAATAAAACAGTAATTATATATTCCCTCTTGTCTGACATGAGAAAATGAGCAGATTTTTATTTACATTCATCCATCTTCCAACTTTTTTTGTTGACAAAATAGTGAATTATAGATCCAGATAGATTAGAAATGTTAATTTTTTACATTATGCATCTTTGCCTTAAATAGTTACGTTTTACATTAACCTTCCATTTTGTAACACATTTAGAGCCATTACTGAGCATTAATGCTATATTTAATTAGTTTTATGCTCACTGTGGGTCTTCTTATTCCACATTTCTCAATTCTTGATTTCTTTATTTTGACTCACTGCTCAGTCAATTGCTCTGTGATTTATTAGGAGCAGGGAACGTGGGAGCCACTGGATACTAAGAATGTCTTTCTGATGTATTTGCACAAGAACAACAACTTGGCTGATAAGGAATTTGTGGATTATAACACTTTCTCCTCAAAAATCCTCCAGGCTTAACATCATTGTCTGCTGCCCTTTATGATATGGAAAAATCTGAGAGGAACCAGGCAGAGATTTGTTAGACTGAGAATGGCTGTTCTGCTTCAATGACCCTTTCACCCAACTCTTTTCAGTAAAATTTAATACTAAAGACGGTCATTTGAAACAGTGTGTAGTTCTTCCTTTGCCAGAAAAATACAGCCTTCTGAGTGCCCAGCTCCCGCTACTCTTCCCCACTCTGTTCCTGTGAGGTCAGCTGCACCCGCAAGACACATGGCATAAGAATTCATCCAATTCCATTCCTGCCTGCGTTTCCTTACTGGGAATCTTAGTTCCAAAGCAAGCGTACATATGCCTGGTGTGGAATAGAAGGCACAGGTAATTAAATGGCCTTGTTCATCTCCGAAGCAGTGTCAAAACTGCTTCTTAGATGAGGCAGTTTCAGAGTGAGATACTTTTTTTTTTCTCTATGGCAAATCCCTGTATCTTGAGGAGGGAGGTCTCTTGAAGAGGGAAGTCTCTGATAGGATGTTTGGGGAGCAAACTGTCGGAGGCATTTGAACCTGAGCAACTCCATCTTAAATAGGACCTAGGTAAAATGAGGCTGAGACCTACTAGACTGCATTCCCAGATGGTTAAGGCATTCTAACTCACAGGATGAGCTAGGAAGTCAGTACAAGATACAGGCCATAAAGACCTTGCTGATAAAAACAGCTTGCAGTAAATAAGCTTGCCAAAACTATAGACAAAAACAGCTGATAAAAACAGTTTGCAGTAAAGAACCCACCAAAACTAAGATGGCCATGAGAGTGACGTCTGGTAGACCTCACTGCTACACTCCCACCACCATCAGGACAGTTAACAAATGCCATGGCAATGTCAGGAAGTTACCCTATATGGTCTAAAAAGGGGAGGTATGAATAATCCACCCCTTGTTTAGCATACCAAGGAATAGCCATAAAAATGGACAACGAGCAGCCCTCAGGGATGCTCTATAAAGTAGCCATTCTTTTGCTCCTTTACTTTCTTAATAAACTTGCTTTCACTTTACTGTATGGACTTGCCCTGAATTCTTTCTCACACGAGATCCAAGAACCCTCTCTTGGAGTCTGGATCAGGACCCCTTTCCTGTAACAAAACCTCTGTGGTTGGCACAGGGCCAACCACTCTTATGGTGGGGACATTCCTTCTGATATGCATTTGCTAGTTTCCTGGGTTCTATAGGCATGCTCTATTTTTAGGTTTTTTGAGTATCTTAGTGGGAAGAATAAAGTAAAACTACTTCTTTCCCTTCTCATCATGGAAACTCAACCGCACCTTTTGATATGTGACAAGAGCAGGGAAGGCCACACCTTCTTAGAGGGTTGTGCTGAACTGATACACCGGCCAGCATGGGATGCCGAGAACCGAGAACAAGAGGAGCCCCAGATGCTTCTGCCAATTTTTATATCTTCCCGCTCAATACATCAGAATGCTTCATGCAGTGGGAAGACCAGATGGACAGGTGGAAGGCAGTCTGGCAGCTTCTCTTTGTAGTCTTATGCTCTCTGTGAGGAGTGTTGCTTGAACCAGTAATAAATGCAGAACTGAAATACCACAGTGGAATTTAAATGGGTGTGTGGACATTCTAAATGTTAATTAGTTCCTCAATCCAGGTTTCTCACCAAGCACTGACTGCCATTGACAGATTAAACTCTCCATCTTGGCCACCCAGAGCCTGCACAGGCTGTTCCCACACACTTCACCAAATCTTGCTTCTGTCTCAGGCTTCCCTTCTCCAGCAAGCTTCTCAGTTCTCCATGTTATACAATGCATAACGAGGCACATGACAGACTCCCTTACATTTCTATAAGCTCTTAGAGGGTACATACCACATAACCTTAATATGAACTATACGGTTTAGCATTTGTCAGTGTTTGTTAGATGTTTGTTAAAAGAAATATGACCACATTGAGGCCAGGTGTGGTGGCTCACGCCTGTAATCCCAACACTTTGGGAGGCTGAGGTGGGCGGAACATGAGGTCAGGAGATCAAGACCATCCTGGCTAACACGGTAAAACCCTGTCTTACCAAAAATATAAAAAAATTAGCCAGGTGTGGTGGTGGGCACCTATAGTACCAGCTACTCAGGAGGCTGAGGCAGGAGAATGGTGTGAACCCAGGAGGTGGAGCTTGCAGTGAGCCAAGATCGCGCCACTGCACTGCAGCCTGCCAGTTTAGGCGACAGAGTGAGACTCTGTCTCAAAAAAAAAAAAAAAAAAAAAAAAAAAAAAAAAAAAAAAAAAAGAAAAGAAAAGAAATATGACCACCTGGATGGAAAATACAAGCTTGTGTAATAAAAGAGGCTAAAGATATTTAGCTTGCGGAAAAGACAATCATATGGGCATGTTTGTATAGAGAAGAAAAGGGTATTAGAAAAGATCTTATGTAACTGAAAGACTATAACCCAAGAAGGTGGTTGCACTGGTTTTGTAGGATGCTAAGAGCGTGAATCAAGAACAATGGGTAGAAACTTCAATAGGAAATATTTCAGTAAGTACACTAAAAAGCCTCCCTAGAGACACAGCCCACTCCCTACTCCAGAAAACACTAAAGCTACCTCAGAGATAAATGAGTTCTCTGTCATTTGAAGTATTCAAGAATAAGCACTAATGCCAGTTAACTAGTGTTGCAGTATGGATAGAACCATTGTTTTGTGTGTGTTTGGGATTGTTGAATGACCTTTGATATCCTTTCCAGCCCTGTGATTTTCTGATATTATGACTGGTGCCAATCCTTGACCAAAGAAATATTTGACACAAAAATGATTACCTTGTCTTTGGAGAAACACTATTTTCTAATGTGACCAATGGCAATGACAAAGGGGGTATTAATCACTGATCAATTAAACCATGCTTAGTGCATTCCTAGATAACAAATTGACAGATATTATTATTATATATGAAGAAATTAAGGCTCAGAGAGGTCATGTTATTTCCTCAAGTAAAGCACTATGTCTATACTCTAATACAGGAGTGTGCAAAGGTTTTTTGTAAAAAGCCATATAATAAATATCCTAGGCTTTGTGGGGCATATAACCTGTGTTACAACCAGCTTTACTGTTAAGCATCAAAATAGCCATAGACAGTGTGTAAATGAACAGGCATAGCTGTATTTTTTTTTTTTTTAAATTAAAGGCATGAGGTTGGATTTGGCCTAGGGGCCTTAGTTTTTCAGTCTCCATTTAGAGCCCTGCTGACTTATCATACGAGAATGAGAAAATGCAAACAAGATAAGGAATGGCCTCCATGTGGCCATACTTACTCCATTGGCTTTGCTGAGTGCCTGGAAGTAGATGCTGTAGCTTTTCAGGGGAGAGAGAGGAGGGTTCCAGTAGCCATTGTATGTCTTATTGTCACCCACTGTAAATGGCTGGGTGACAGGCAGGTTGGCAGGCTTCAACTCAGCAGCAAAGTAGTGTAGAGAATCGAGGCTGGAGGCATTCCGATAGCTCACAGGCACCGAAAAGCACTCAATAATGTCAGCTGCCCTCCGTGACTTCTGTGGTCGCTCCTCCTTGACAACCAGCTGATAAACACTGGACCGGAAAGAGGGGACACAGATGGATGAGCAACTCTCTGGAAGAATGAGCTTGTTAGCTCTAATGGTATCAACCCAACTTCTCCTGTGTGGAAACATTGCTTCTGTCTACAACAAAACTTTTGTCCTGAGCATCAGATTTTCAAACCTACCACGTTGTAGAACTTTACCTCCACTTAGCTGTCTCAAAGCCAGCTCACACTAGACACATCTAAAACTCAACTCAGCCCCAACCCCTACAAACCTGTCTGCTCCTCCTTTTACATGTCTTTTCTTAGTAAATGGTAGCACCATCTGACAAGTGGCCAGAACCTGAATCTAGGGCTCATCCTTCTGTTGACTTCTCATCAACAGAAGTCTGTTGATTTGGCTTCTGTATGTTTGCATCTGCCCCACTTCTGTTTTCTCCTTCCACTGATAATACCTTAGTTGGGCACTTTCCCACTTCTTATCCAGATTCAACTAGTCTCTTTGCCTCTAATGCACTTGATTTATTAATCAGTCATCCTAATCATATGGCTTCCTAATCATATAGCTCTTCAAACACTTTCATAGGCCTTCCATTGTACAAATTATACAATCTAAACTCCTCATCTTGGCATTTGAAGCCCTCTGTGCCTGTCTTCTGTCTTCCATTTAGGTGTTCTCATGGTGTTTCCATCTTCTAGCTACTCCAGATCCCATGCTATTGCACAGATATATTTTGGATCTCACCTCATGCATTACTGACTTATGCTTCCTCTACCTGCAATGCCCTGCATCCTGGCCACCTCTGGTTTCCTCCAAAGGCTGAGCATGTCTTTCACTTCCTCTATGAAGCCTGTCCAGATATGTCCAGTCTGGATCAATCACCTCCCTCTTTAGTTCCCCTAGAGCTCACCTAATCTCCATCTGCTTTGTTTTCCAATATCATGAGATAGGACTACTCTTGCACCGGCTAGATTGTGACCTTTTACGAAGTAGGCATTGTGGCTTACTTATCACTGCATCATTCTCCACCCCTGCCCCACACTGCCCAGCAGGATGCCTGCCACCCAACAAGTGATCAATGAATGCTTGTTCAAATGAATTAAATTGGATTGAATTAAAACTGAAAGCAAACATGAAACCAAATCTGCCTGGATGCAGAAACCCTAATCAGATAAACAGCGATTGCCTTGAGTTCCTGTCTAGTGATCACATATTGTTCCCTTCAACTTAGGAGGATATAAGAAGATGCTAGTGTGTGAATAGAGATGACTGATCCTTTATTGAATATCAACTGACACCCAGTGTTAGACTTTCTTTGTAAAAGTTATTTTAAGGTTAGTAAGTTGGATAACATTGTTCAATCTCTTTGAATGTCCCACAGTTTACATCTCTCTGGAATAAATGCTCTTCTTTTAGAAGAGCTTTATTGCACGGATCTCTGGGACTCATGATCTAAAATAAAAGATCGATTGCCCTTGAGTACCCACTGGAGACTTCTGTGAATTAATGAGGTGGTTGCAGTAGGGGGCCCCAAACCAATCATTTAAACAGGGCATAGTGAACCAGCACGTGGTTTACGAAAAATGAAACGTGTTGCAGGCTACCATCCTTCAATCAGACCATCCATCTAAAGACACTTGACTAACGAGTACAACTTGGGAGATGACAGAGACACAGGACTATTTCATTAAGGAAAAAAGGCTATGGAGGACTGCCCTAAGAAAATGTGACACACTCAATATGGCAAGTTTTCTCTCCAATTTTCTTGAGTATGGGAATTTTCAGGCATGTGAAAAGGAATGGTTGGGCATATGAGTATATGCCACACTTAGATGAGTGCAGGCAAAATAGCTCAATTACCATGCCTGTTGTACATACACATCTGAGTAAGAACCTGACAATTCAGAGTGCATGTGAGTGACATGTGAGTGGAGTGGATGTGGACAATCTCTCAAGGCATGCACACTACATCTGAGGGTGTACCATTTCCAAGTGAGGATCTGTATTACCTGGGCGTCTAACTCCAAATGAGTGAATATAACATTTAGATGAATGGATGAATGTGGTTAACCTGAGTGTTTAGACTTCTAAATAAGTGTGTGTAACATCTGAGAATGTTTTAACCACCCAAAGTGTGTGTGGGTATGTACCATCTATGCCATAATGCCTGTTGAAGTCAATAAAGGTTTAAATTAAATTATGATTTCAGCAATCACTTCCTCCTCAACTCTGGGGTCCTTCTCAATTGTACAATTTCTATGTTTATCAGGACAGCTAAGCTCAAAGCAGTCACTGAAAAATTGCACAAGGACCTAATACCCAAACCTAGAGGTTGCAGGGCAGAAGTGGAGGGGTGTTTGTAACAGAGTTTTCAGGACCTGCAATGCTTTATAAATGACAATATATTGAGGTAAATCTTAGAATCTGGCTTGAATGCTAATAGTAGCTCGACCAGTTGAGAGTCCATTACTCGTGGGACTCTGATCTGTGAGGGAAAGGGCAAACACAAGAGAGCTTCATGAAGCAGACAACCTCTTGGGCTCTCCTGATGAAGCTAACAACAGCACCTAAGAACACTGCATTGGATTTGGGAGCAGGCAACCAACGCAGCCCTCATAGCCCCTTGAGCAGATTAGAAGGAACCAACAGCCTCATCCCCAGGACCAGGAGTTGGAAAGAGCTGGGAGTCCCTGCTTTCCTCTGAGGGCCAGCCTATCCCTACTCACCATTTGGATTGATCATAGCTACATAACAAGGCCTTTATCTTGGTTTCTCAGATAGACTTCCCATTCTACCTTAAATCCTTCTGTCATCTTTCCCCTCTAAATTGAGACCCCCCGAAGCCTTGGGAGCTTCCCTGGGACTGAATCGCCCTCCGAGAATCACTTCCTATTGCCTCTGGCCCTCCTGTGATGGGATGGATCAAGAGGGGCCACATGGCTGGCCTCATTTACTGTCCACGACTAGCAGAAGATTCCATAGTTGTGGCCAAGCAAGAAGACGGGTTCTTACTGGGCTCTGAAAATTCAAATGCTGCCAAGATCTATTAGACAGAGCCATAATATCTCTGTGAGGGTCAGCCTGTATATCCCCATCAGCTCTTTCTCCCCACCAATCTGATTACTGAAGATCCACTTGTCAGTTCAACCAAGGTCAACAGCCAGATTACACATGAGGAGCTGAGGCTGAGAGGTCAAGTGATTCATGAGGTCAAACTGCAGCAAAAGTAGAAACCCAGACTTTTCATTCATAGTTGAGTATTCTTTCTTTTTTTTCTTTTTTTTCTTTTTTTTCTTTTTTTTTTTTTGCTATTTTCTTCTCTTCCTACAAACCAATAAAATGTATAAAGGCCTTCCAAGCATTTTTTTCTAACTTGGCATCCCAAACTGCTTAGCTCTACCCCAACCAACTCCATATGAAATTACAAAGAATAGCAAAGGGTATTTTTTTGGTTTAAACTGTGCAGTCAACATATGGTTCACATACGACTGTGATTATTGTGCCAAAATATACCCAGCAACTCCTTCGGGCCCATGCATTCGCAGCCTGTCCATTCAAAAGCAAACCTGCAATGCAGCCAGAAAAACTTAAATCATTTTGTTAGATAAATCTGTTTGCCAATGGATCCAGCCTCTCTCAAAGACCACAGAACTCTGACTGAAGAGGGGGAGAAGAAACAGTGCTCACAAGTTGTATAACCTTCCTTTCCTGACACTTTTTAGGAAAGGGTGGGGGAAAGAAACAACAAACTGAGTATTATTTTTATTTCTTGTAGTAGCTTCATTCTCATTCTCTTGAGAATACATTTATCTAAGAGCATGTTCTTTTCAGCTTGCTGGTAATGATAAAATCATATCCAAATGCGAATGACCTCCCTTTTGGGGTCATATCTCTAGCTCAAAAACAGTGGTTGCAATAAACTATTCAGAATCATTTTTAAAGAGAGGGGATTTTTTTAGTAGGAAAAATCCCAATAACATGAGAAAAAAACAACTTAAGACACTCACTGCACAACACATAGCATTTACTCATACACTTTCTCCTCTTGTGACACCCTCTCTCTTTCTCCTAATGAGAAGATGGGCATTTATGACTTTTTTTCCCATTACTTATCCCAAGGATCTCTTATTGCAAGGATCTAAGAGCTATACTGTGCCCCCAACTCATTTCATTCACTCTAAGGTGATTTCTGTAAGGTCAAGGAGGGTTTATACTGTCACTTTCAGTATCTCCTGCTGTCCATCCAAGGCAAAAACCCTTAGAACCTTTCTACAGGCTCTGGAAAACCCTGCTGCTGGACCTTCTTCCTCCCTCTGGTCCCTAAGCTAATGGTTTAAATGGTGGCTTGAGATTCTCGGACCAGATTCCACTGAGGGGGCCCAGGGACCTATCAGAGCATCCTTCCATTAGTAACAGTTCCTGTGGCCCTCTTTCTAGATCTAGAGAAGTCTCTAGCCAGGAGCTGTGTCCTCTCAGAAGATTGGAGTCAGATGACAGAGAGAGTAGATGCTCTAGCTCACAGGTAGAGCTTGCCCAACTTCAGAAAGATGCATATTTTAGTCCACTTTCTCCCAGAATGAACCATGTCTGAGTTCAGGTTCTTCCAGAAACAGACCCCGAGCCAAGGTTTCACTGCAAATGATGTATTGAGGAAGTAGTCCCAGAAGAAACTAGTAAAGGAGTGAGAGAAAATGGGAGGAAGTGAAGCAAGGGTATGATATCAGGCAAAGTCCCAGTCTTAGCCTGATCCCATAGGGAGCTCTGGAGAATAAATTATACCCCCAGAGTTTGTCTCATCTCAAACCACAGGCTTTTGAACCTCCAGTGCTGGTCAGTGATTGGTTATGGCTGAGTCAGAGAGACATAAACTCTAAGGCACTCCTAACTTTGTGTGAGGAGGGTCAGACAAGGCAGCTCTGGCAT